GACTCCTTTCAGGAGTCTAGTCAAAAAAACAAAACACAAAGCTGGAAAAAGTATATTATTTGTGTACAAGAGACTTCAGATTGCATAAAACACCCGTGAGCTGAAAATCAAATCTGACAGAAGTTTATGCCACAGATTTAACCCTTAGGAATCTTGTTAATTTCAAAAAGCTCAAAGTCAACTTTAACTCTGCCTTAATCACTGAGAAGTGCTTGAGGTTGTCTTTACCACTCTGTGTACTACCCTCCCCTCCTCTGACCACCCATGATGAAATCTGACTGTAAGAGTTCATGGAAGATATAGAAACATACTGTCAGGTAGATTCTCATTCGCAAATCTCTTTTTTAAAAAGTAACAGGAGTAATGATGATTAATTTTACTATTTTAGGCAAACAACAAAATTATAAAAATCAAATTATAGATGTTTTCCTCATTAGATTGTATAGATTCTTGTTTCAGTTACTAGGGTAAATGATTTTCTCAAACAATAAAACCTTAAGAGGATTTATTACCATGTACATTATATTTCAGTGGAGGAATAATCATATTTGTTTTTCTTCCCCAACTAGTATACTGTACTGGTTAAGAGCACAGAACCAGGCTACTGGGTGTAAATCAGTCTCCACCTCTTCACAGCTCTGTGACAAGGGGTAAGTTAGTCAAGCTTTCTATGAGTTGTGGCAATGAAATTATTTCTAGTTTACAATAACTTCAGGAGAAAAAACTCAAGATGCCAGTTGGTATACTTTTTAATAATAAAATAGTACTTATGTCCTGAATGGAGCCCTGGTGGTGCAGTGGTTAAGAGCTCAGCTGCTAGTCTAAAGGTTGGCAGTTAGAATCCACTAGCTGCTCCTTGGAAACTCTATGGGGCAGGTCTACTCTGTCCCACAAGGTCACTATGAGTCGGATTTGACTAGACAGCAATGGGTTTTTTTTGGCTTTTATGTCCTGAACACTTTGGAGCCAGAAAACAGAGGATGTCTAGTCTTCCAAAGAGATCAACTTGAGCTGGTAAAATTTCAAGGCAATAATATTTGTTCCAAAATAAGCCGTTCCTCTGTACTTCCAACACATCTCATAACATCAAGAAATGCTTCCTATAAATCCATAAAGTTCTTAAAAAAGGAAAATCTATTCAGTAGATGTAATGCCTGCCTTAAGGAGGCAATCTTCCACATGAGATTTTTTTTTTTGAGGGGAAATTCACATAACGTTCATCATTTTAGAGTGTACAATTCAGCGGTATTTAGTGTGTTCACCATGTCAAGCAACCACCATCTCTAGTTTCAAAATTCTGCATCATCCCAAAAAAACATCATGTACCCGCTAAGCAATTACTCACAATCTCTCCCTTCCCTCATCCCCTGGTAAACATTTATCAGCTTTCCGTCTCTGGGAACGTGCCTATCCCGGGTCTGCCGTATAAAGGAAGCACACAACGCGTCACCTTTGCTTCTGGTTCCTTTCACTTCGCGTGATGTTTTCAAGGTTCATCCAAGTTACGATTTCAGTGAAGGTTAATGATAGCTGTCAAGAAATGCTTGTTGAATAATAATAGTAACCAATGTGTACTGAGAGTTTATAGGCTACTTTGCCTAAATGATCTTTCGATCTTTTGACAGATAAGGAAACTGACATTTAGAGAGTTTAAATGTGTTACCCAGAATCACGCAGCTAGTAAGTGGCAAGGTTACACTAAAATTCACTTTCTTATCCATGAATCTTTCAGGAATACGTAAGGTGGTGTGCAATCACAGAATGAATATATTTAAGTTTAAAGTTGTAGAAGATAAATAAATTCTCTAGGCTGTCTTTGGAAGCAGATGCCAGAAAGAACACAGGTTCCGGATTGAGGGAGAGCTGAATTCAAATATAAAATTCACCATTTTCAAACACTGCGACCGTAAGCAATTTATTAAAACATTTCAAGCCACAGTTTCCACAGAGGATTATTGAATTGACTAATTGAGACAGTATATGCAAATCGCGTGACACAACAGCTCCGTATCTTTAAATTTTCCAAGTGAGTAACATCATCTGAGGTACCCCACAGCCCCCCTGCCACCCCATACATTGCCAGTTGGTCCTCTAGTTTCTCACTACTTAATGTGTGGTCACAGGACCAGCAGCGTGGGCATCACCTGGTAGCTTGTAGGAAATGAAGAATCTTGGGGCACAGACCTACTGAACCAGAATCTACATTTTAATAAGATCCCCAGGTGATTCAAATATTATTCAGGTTTAAAAACCACTGCTCCAGCTGTCCCCTAAAAAAGTGGTAGAAAACTAAAAAACACAACCTACTTAACCAAGACAGAGAAGATAAGCATAAAGTACTAAAAATAAGTAGTTAGGAATTATCTTCCCTTTGTCAGAGATATTAACTGATAGTGATGGTTGATCTTATGTGTCAGCTTGGCTAGGCTATAATTCTCGGTGGTTTGGGAAGATACTGGAATGGCTGCTGTAAAGTAACATAATACAATGTAATCACTTTCCATGACGTGATCTGAGGTGATCAACCAATCAGTTGAAAGAGGAATCTCCCTGGGGTTGTGGTCTGCCTCCAGAATATAAGTGGATATTCTGGCAGAGCTTGTTCTCTCTCTCTCAACCCTGCACTCTTCTCGTTGCCTGATCTTTGGATCTTGGGAAGTAAACCTGAAGAAGTCTCTGGCTTGCAACCTGACCTGTAGATTTTAGATTCACCAGCCCCCACAATCCTGTGAGCCAACAGAGGTCTCCAGCCTGCCGCCTGACCTATGGGTCTAGGACTTGCCAGTCCCCACAATTGCATGAGCCATTTCCTTAAGGTAAATCTCTCTCTGTATATTTA